GCGTGCTTTGAACTTGTCGATGGTGCCGTCTGCTTTCGTCTTCACTCGGAAGACCCATTTTCCGGTGAGTATAGTCTTGTTTCGTGCTACGCCGATAGGGACGACCTTCCAGGTGTTGCGTTCCTCTAAGGCCTTCAGCTCCCTGTCCATGGCTTCGCGCCATTTTTCCCTGTGCTCCCCCCCCAGAGCCTGCTGAACCGTCGCAGGCTCCTTAGGAATGTCGGCGCCGTGGACTGCGGTGACGAGTCCAAGGATTTGGAGTCCACTCTGTGTGTAGCGGGGGAGTGTGGTGTCCTCGGGATAGACTGCTTCGTCTCCAGCTTCTGGGTCAGGTGCGAAATTGGGCCCTACACGTTCTGCTTCGTTGGTGTTGACTTGTTCGGGTGTAACGTAACCGTCGTCGGCGAACTTGTAGAAGACTTCGGCGTTGATGCTTTCGCGAGGGTTGTCGTCGTCCATTGGTACGTCTACCCAGCAGTACGGTAGTGGTCCGGCTTCTTCCGAGGCTCCGTCCACGTTCTGCTCGTCCCAGTCAGCTTCGTCTTCCGCCGAAGCGAAGGCTCGGGTTCAAGTGAATCCGCCCGAGGGATCAGGTCTGTTTGCTCTTACGTAGGCGAGGTGAACGTCGAGGGTGAGGTTCTCGTAGAAAAGGACATCACGTGCTGCGACTGTTTCTTTACTGTTGATGTCGAAGATTTTCCACGCGTTGTAGTGTTTTTCGATGCCCAGGTGTACTCCCCACTGTGCTCGCTGGGAGAATCGACCGGCGCGTGCAGATGGTGGTCGGTACTGTACCATGCACCCGAAAACTCGTAACATTTTTGTGCTGCCCAATTTTCCTGTCCACAGCAGGTGCGGTGATGCGTTGTTCGGGAGCGATGATGACGAGAGCAAGTTGTGCAGCATGACGGCGTGGTCCATTGCTTCGGGCCACTGGTGGTTGGGCAGATGCATGCCACGCAACAGTTTGCGCATGGTGGCTTGGAGTGTCCTGTTCATCCTCTCTGCTACACCTTGCTGTTGATGGGCGTAGGGAAGAGAGATGAGTCGCTTGATTCCCCTCTCTGCCAAGTAGTCCTTGAACCTCTGTGAGGTGTATTCTCCTCCTCCGTCTGACTGAAAGATTTTAAGTTTTACGCCCGATTCTCTCTCTGCTGCAGGAAGCCAGGCGACGAACGCTTCGAAAGCCATGTCGCGGCTTGGTAGGTTGACGTGCCAGACGTATCTTGTTGCGGCGTCAATGAAGGTAATCGTGTAATTGTAGGCGTTTTGTCCGGGCTCGCGGTTGTACAGGATGTCGCTGTACACCTTTTCGAGTGGTGCGTAAGCTGGTGCGCTTGGATTGTGGTGAGATGGGAACGGTTGATGCGTTAAGTCTGCTTCGGGGCAGGTGAAGCATGTTCCTCGAGCTCGTTGTAGTTCTCTGCCGTCGGTCAGTAGAAGTGAGTCTTTGTCAAGCACTCCTGCTCGTATCGTGTTGTTTAAAACTGTGTGGCTCGGGTGTCCCATTCTTGCGTGCCAGGTTCCCTCGCTGGCGCGGTGTCCGGGTGAGCGGCGGTACATATCGGAGTTGGAGTAGAAGCCAGCGGTAACATTTGCGCTTCGGTGGACTTCTCGTCGTGCCGGGTTGAGCTGCTGCGCGGGTGTTGGTGGCGTGTCGTCGATGAAGGGTGGTGCCGTTGAAGGACCGTCGACTGGTGTTGATGTTCCTGCTGCTGCTGTTGTTGTCTCTGCTGCTGCCGATGTTGTTTCTGCTGCTGCCGATGTTGTCTCTGCTGCTGCCGATGTTGTCTCTGCTGCTGCCGATGTTGTCTCTGCTGCTGCCGATGTTGTCTCTGCTGCTGCCGATGTTGTCTCTGCTGCTGCCGATGTTGTCTCTGCTGCTGCCGATGTTGTCTCTGCTGCTGCCGATGTTGTCTCTGCTGCCGACCGTTGAATCGTTGCTAACGCTCTTGTTCTCTCTGTTTCAGGAATGGTGTGTGAGTACCAGAAGCCGCCCGGACTGAAGTCAGGATCGAGATCCGGAGGATGTGTCCAGTTGGTGAAGTTTACGATGGCGTCGCTGTCGGCCGTGCCAAGATCAGGAACGAAGTCAAGAAAGAAGATGTTGTTCTTAAGGACCGCCTTCCCGATGTAGAGGCCTCCTCTCCCGTGATACAGCTTGAATTCCTGAGTTGTGCTGTCTGCTTCAAGATGAATGCCCTTCGCCATCAGTTGACTGACGCTGAGCAGGTTGTATCCGAGTCCTTCTGCGATGAGAACTTTGGACATCTGCAGGATGACGTTTGTTTCACGTGACTGAAGTTGTACTATGCCTTGTCGTCGTGTGCGCAGGTTTTGGTTGTTGGCGACGGTGATGACTACTTCGCGTTGAAGCTGGTATTCACGTTGTACGAAGCGTCCTGAAGAACACATGTGTTGCCCGCAGCAACTGTCCAAGAACCACGTGTCTTTTCCGGATGGTTCGCTTTGGGCGATGGCGGCGTACGTCGGGTTTGGTTGAAGTAGCTCGCGGCGAGGTGTCGTTTCATCGAGCTGTTCTTCTGGTGAGTAGTACGGTGGTGATTCCGTGACGCAAGAGTCACTCAGTCTTGCCATACAACTAACGATGTTTCTTGCTCCTTGTGCAGGTTGTCCCGTTGAGGTCGTTGAAGCTTGAATTTGAGTCGTTGGGTTCGCCTGTGTTGATGCGACTTGATTGCTTGAAGGTCGTAGCTGCCGCTGCGGAGTCGTTGACTGTTGACGATTCGGGCAGTGCGTGCGCGGGTGCCCTGAAGTCTTGCAGATGTGGCAGAAGGGAGGTACGGGCTTCGGTTGTTGTTGTCGATGATTGTTGTTGTTGTAGCGTCGCTGGGTGTGAAAAGCGAATTCTGATGTTGTCGTCTTCTTTCTGTGTCGTTCTTCTTGCAGGTCCATGTCCTGCTGCTCGGCGTGGATTTCGGCGCAGAGTGCTGCTTCAGAGATTCTTCCGTGGGCTCGGAGAATGGCCTTTGTTGCGCGCCATTGGGGACCGAGGCCGCCGATGATGACTGTCACGAAGGCGTCTTCAGATATTGACCCTCCGCATCGAAGAAGCTTGTCGCGCAGCTCGCGACATCGGCTGATATACGCCATTCCTTTCTCTCCCGGTTTCATTTCAACTGTTGTCAACTGCGCCACAAGAGCGTATGTTTTGCTGCTGAGTTGGTGTGACGTTCCTCAGCAGAATCGTATACGCCATCATCGATTGATACGTATACTGCTGTTTCTCATACTGTGTGCCATTTACTGGGTATTGCAGGGACCCGTCGAAGAAGCCGAGTATCTGCGCGCCTTCCATCATCAACTCGAACTCGAATGACCAGGTGAAGAAGTCCTTTCCGTCGAAAGGTCTTGACGTTTGCAGCTTCAGAACGTGCGCGAATTGTGATTGAACTTGTAATGCGTCTAGTGGTTTGTCTTGTCCAGGTGAAGGCTGCGGCATGAAGCTGATCGACCCGCGCTCGTACGGGGCGAAGGTAGGTTGCTGCTGTTGGTTTCCGCGCGCATATGACGACCCGTCGAGGCTCATGGGCGTTGCTCCGTTGTTGTTGCTGTTGTGTGACTGTGCAGGTCCCGACTGCTGGTGCTGCTCGTAGAAGGACATGAAGGAGAAGAATTTCTCCATCATGCTCTGGTCGAAGTTTGCGGGGTGATTCGCGGGAGTCTCAGTAGACGTCGCCCTTGGTCTTGTTCCCGTGCCTTCCTCTGTTTGCAGGCCAGAGGCAGGAGGTGGAGTAGGAGTAGTGCCCGGGGAGCCGTTAGAGGAGCTCCTTTCCTTGTTTGTTGCCATGTCTTGTAATGACTTGATAGTAGTGGAGTTTCCCCTGTTAGCTCTCATACCATGTTGGGCTGAGATAAGCCCTTAGGATCTTTTCAGGGGTGAACTCTGGGTAGGAACTTTGTAATAGCGGAAGCGTTTAATGAAGAGTTTGTGAACCACCTTGCGCTAGTATGTGAGGGCAAAGTAGATTGATTATAGCAAAGAGATACAAGAATATTTATAATAGTACAAGGAATACGAAACGATACGGTTGTAACTAATTTACTGTTGCTGTTGCGGTTCGATACAGTACGACTCGGGCAACTGCTCTGTAACGAGTCAGTTGTGTGTCCTTAACTGTCGCGCTGCACTTGTCAGGTCAAAGGTCGCTTGACCTTTGACTTTCGCGTAACCTCCAGCAACCTCTCAACCTCCGAGGGTTGACTCGCGCTTGCTTCGGTATTGTTTTCTTCACTTCTGGTGCGATGTTTCGACACTACTGAAGCGCTTAAGTTTCACTGTTTCCAACACCCCATGGCTTACGGCATGCCATTCGGGAGCCTCAAACCTAAATTTTTAGGGTTGAGGCTCCCTCGGATGACATGTCATCCGATTGGGTTTTAGTTTTTTTCTTGGCCCAGGCCAGCTTGCTGACTCGATTGCACTGCCTGCTTACGCAGGCAGTGCAATATATATTCCAACCTACACGACACCTCGGTATGTACTGTGCAGACCAACACCACGACAAAAACGATATCATGCGGGCCAGCAAGCGAGCCTAAACCAAACCTACTCTGACAAAGTTACTTACCTACTCAACACCAACCGATAACCATTAAACTATACCGCGTAAGCTACTGTAGGGTCGATCGGAGTTTTGGAATTCGAAATAGTGCTGACGTGGAGCACGAGTGGTCGACCGATTTGACACAAATCCGAAAACCGTCGAGTTTTGTGATTTTTCCCCAACTGTGTCTCCCCATTTCCTCCTGGCCGATGCTATTCAGTATGTGTTCTGTATTTACGGTTAACAGAGGTTGAGTAAATACTTACAGCTTTTGAGTAGGATACAGAGGAAAACGAGCATACCAGTTCTGCTCGTTCACACATCCACATTCACACTCAACTGCATAACAGTCGCTAGGCAGGTGAGAACAATGTCTGGATCCCGCACGCCAATTCCGCCCGCTGCTCTCGTGGTGTACAGCAGCACCTTACTCTAGAGAAAAAACCCCTTCGCTGTCGACACTCTGTTTCCAGATGTAAACCCGTGTAGCAACTGCACCAGATCTTCCCAGACGTCTGCAGGTGGCGGGTAGACTTGAGCTTGGAAAGCAATCAGTGGGGTGATATAGAAATTAACCGCTGACGCTCGAGCTGCTGTCGTCAGGTACTTTTGCTTCCACTTCACCAATTTCTCAGTAATGCGCTCCATCGCCTTCTCCCACGTTTTCTGTCCATGTCCAGAGGGAGTCACCCACACACCCAACAGGCGTTCAGCATCATCTGCGCCCGCCCATTTGAAGCTAGACGCACCGTCTGCCGCCGCACCAATGTTCTCTCCCAGAGGTAAAATCACCGATTTCCCTTTGTTTGTGGCCAGTCCAACCGCTTTTTCAAAATTATCCAAGATTTCCTCTGCTTTGACAATCTGCTTCTTCCCTTGCAGGACTAGCGTTGTGTCGTCAGCGTACCCAAGATAGCCGAGCTGCTGCCCGTCCTTGCTGAGCCCCAGCTTCTCCCTTTCTACCTCCTGAGCCAACGGCTCCACCGCGCACAAGAACAGGTAGGGTGCAAGTGGGCATCCCTGCCGAACACCCGAGACCACGTCCATTCCCTCTCCAAGCCAGCCGTTAACCAGGAGCTTCGTCGTTGTGTTTTCATGCAGGCCTTCCACCCAGCCAACATACCGCACCGGAAAACCCATCCGTCGAAGTACCTGAAAGAGGAAATCCCTCGATACCGAATCGAAGGCTTTCTGGAAATCGACCAACAGCATATACCAGTCCGCCTTCTCGTTCTTCGCCACATCAAAAATATTTGCAACCAGCGCCACCGCATCCGACAGGCGTCTTCCAGGGATGAAACCGTACTGCTCCGGTGAGATGACCTGGTGCAGAACCCGTTTCATCCGATCTGCCATGACCTTGGCTAACACCTTGTATATGAAGTTGAGGAGTGTGATGGGCCGATAGTTGTTCAGCTGATCACGATCTCCCTTCTTATGCAGCAAGATAGTGACCGCCTCCTTAAGCTCTGCTGGGATAGACGCTGATTTCTCAAAATCCTTTACCAGCGCCATGAAACTCCCCCCCAGCAGGTCCCAGTGACACTCGAACAGCTCCTTCGGGAGCCCATCTCCACCAGGTGATTTATTCCTCGCCATTGTCGTAAATGCTTCTTTCACCTCCTGTTCTGTCCAGTCCGCCATTAACGATTCTTCCGCCTCTTTCCCCAGGCACCTGCTCGGATTGAGATTCCAGTGTGAGAAATCTGTGCGGCGATCCTTCCCGAAAATACTATTGAAGAAGGCTGACGCAACATCCAAAATCTACTTCACCCCAGTCACCCTGTTACCCCCTTCCTTCAGCTCCTTGATTTGCGTGCGAGCTTTCCTTGCTCGGACTTTCACAGATAGATGTTTCGAGGCGATTTCTCCAGTCATCTCCTCCGTCAAACCAGCCTGCAAATGCAGCCGTTCCCTCCGCGCCTCCTGATACGCTTTCAACTGTAACTCCTTAGCTGCAAGTGCCTCCCGTGTGACATTGCATGTTGGATTCCGCATCAGCTCCTGTTTCAGCAGTGCGACTCTGCTCACCAAATGAGCCAGAGTCTTCTGGCTCACGGAATGCAACAGCCTTAAGAAAGACCTGATGGTGCGGGCGGCGAAACTTCCCTTGGGAGCAGAATCTTTCGAAGCACGCGAGAAGCACTTCAAGCACTAGGAAGGTGGTAGCATTGGGTGGAAGCAGACGTGTGAAAGTATTGCTGGGTCGCCGCTGTGTTTGCGTGCTTCTGCCTCAACAAAAGAAGAGATTCTGCAGGAGCGGGCGGTTTTCAATAAAAACATACTACTACGGGGCACCACGCCGATCGGTGGGCAAAAGGATGCAAGGAAGCTGTGGGATTTGCGACTGGGAGATCTGTGTCAGTGATAACGGACTGGAATGGTGAACTAGAAAGGATTGTGAGTACAAATATGAAACCCTAATGTTGTGACCCCCCTATAGGCTAACCCACTACAGCCTACACAAACACAACACATATAATGTTTGACACACCCCCATAGGCAAAGTGGGGGAGACCTAGGGGTCACAAGACCAGTCAAGGCAAAGCAAGGCAACAACAAGCTCAGGGTGGATCTCAAGGATACCACACAAATTCCGAGCACAAGCTAGTGGTCACAAGACCAGTTCACATGCAGGTTTATAACAGAGCATGAGATACAGTGATCACAACCTAGCAAGAGTAAACATGCAGGTAGATATATATATATATATAGTGATCACAGTACGAGTCAGAATGAACGGAGAGGAATGACTGTACTAGCACAAAGTTGGATACAAGTAGTAAACCCTAATCTAGTGTACCCCCTAAGGTGTAACCCACTACAGCCTACAATCATATAAACATATAATGTTTGACACACCCCCATAGGTGCAGTGGGAGACAACCACGGGTCACGAGACCAGTCAAAGCAAAGGAAGGCAAGCTCAGGGTGGATCTCAAGGATTCCACACAAATTCCGAGCACAAGCTAGTGGTCACAAGACCAGTTCACATGCAGGTTTATAACAGAGCAAGAGATACAGTGATCACAACCTAGCAAGAGTAAACATGCAGGTATAGATATATATAGTGATCATAGTACAAGCAAAGTCAAGAGGTAAGTAAGTGAGGTCCAGTAGGCACAAGGCCTAGTAGAGTGCAGAAGCGCTGATGGTCACGAGGCTGAAGCGCCTTGGTGAACACATCAGCAGTGTTGGCCTCAGTGGCCACGTAGCGAATACAAAGCTGACCGCGCTGCTGCAGCTCACGAGCAAGGAAGTACCGCAGGGCGATGTGCTTCGTTCTGTGCTCCAGTCTGTGCTCCTCACACAAGGCAATGGCAGCCTTGTTGTCGACGTACAGTACTGGAGGAGAACGAGGCGGCTCTCCGAGGTCGGTCAGCAGGTAGGTCAGCCAGCGTAGCTCCTGGGCAGCCATGGCTGTAGCGTAGATCTCAGCCTCGCAACTGGAGCCGAGAACAGAAGAAGAGCGTGTAGAGCGCCAAGAAACTGAGCCAGAGCCAAGGCTGAAGGTGTAACCCTGAGACGACCGCTGAGTGGCCTGGTCGTCTGCCCAAGAAGCGTCTGAGTGCCCTGTGAGAACAACTCGGTCTCGCCCTCCAAGCACAAGCCCCATGCCCGATGTACTGCACAAGTAGCGCAACACCCTCTTAGCGGCATCCATGTGCTCCTTCCTGTGACGGCCAGGAGCGACATAGCGTGCAAGGATGCTAAGAGGGTATGCAAGGTCAGGTCGAGTGCAGGTCATCAGGTACATGAGGCAGCCCACAAGCTCTGGATACGGGCCACTCGGCTCTACGGACTCATCCGAAGGCAGAGTTGAGAGCGAGTGACCGGTAGGCAGAGGAGTGGACTGAGGCGAGGAGTACGTGAAGCCGAAGCGCTGGAGAACCTGCTGCACCATGTGTGACTGAGTCAGGGTGATGGTGCGCCGTGCTCTGTCCCGGGTGATCCGCAAGCCAAGATAGCTTGTCAGCTCACCCAGGTCTGTGCACGTGTGTCTCCTCTGCAGCTCCGACTTCACGTAGGCGAGTCCTGCAGTGTCAGCAGTGGCAAAGACCAAGTCGTCGACGTACACGAGGATGTAGAACGGCGGCAAGGAAGTGTCGGTGCGCAGGAACAGCGACAGGTCAGCTGTAGAAGGCGCGAACCCAAGAGCCGCAAGTGTAGTCCTCAGTGTGTCGTGCCACTCACGCGGAGCCTGGCGGAGACCGTAGACCGGCCGCTGAAGCCTCCACTGGGTACCAGGAGGAAACGACCCAGTGAAGCCAGGTGGGCGGCGCAGCCAGATCTCCTCGTGCAGGCTGCCCTGCAAGAAAGCAGTGCTGAAGTCAAGTGAGTGAAGCTCGTAGTCGCGGTGAGCGGCTATGTGCAGTAGCACCCGAAGAGTAGTCATCTTCGGGGTGGGGGAGAAGGTCTGGAAGAAATCAACTCCCTCTCGCTGACTGAAGCCTCGAGCCACGTAACGCGCCTTGAAGACAGGCGGAGAACCCGGCGGCCGCTTCACCCTGAAAATCCACATGCCACTGACGATGTTCGTCCCAGGAGGGGGAACCTCGTCGACGTAGGTGCGTGTGGACTTCCAAGAAGCCATCTCGGCGTCCATGGCTGTCTGCCACTGAGAGGAGTAGGGACCCGCCATCGCCTCAGCGTAAGTGCGCGGGGTCGGGATGTCTGGTGCATCCGGGTCTCCCTCAGGGGCAACTAGCAAGGACACGAGACGGGGCAAAGCAGCAGCAAGACACTGGAACTCCTCCTGTCTGTCCTCAAGGACGTCCGTGCCAAGAGCACACTCACCCCCGACGGACGGAGGACAGACAGACTCAGACTCAGACTCAGCAACAAGGCTAGCAGCGTAGTCTAGACGACAGGCAGTAGCAAAGTCAACCAACTCAGCGACCAGAGCAGACGCAGCCGAGGACTCAAAGGTAGGGTCAGTGACAACAGTAACAAGGAGACGCGTGACAGTAGGGTGCTCAGCACGGTACCGGTCAGACTCAGGGTCCGGAACGTGAGGCAAAGAAGACGCAGGAGGAGACGGTAGAGGGACACGCTGAGGAGCAGTAGAGGGACGCAGAGTCATGTAGTGAGTGCCGGGGACAGGAGGAGGACGCTCACGACGGACACGACTACCAGTGCGAGTAGGACGAACAGGCGACGCAGGACGAGACTCAGGCTCACGACGCTCTGTAAGACCTCCTGTGGGACCAGTGTAAGGAGAGGGAGCAGGAAGAGGCGAGGTAGGCGGTAACTGTGACTGCGGCTGGACAGGCAGAGGACACTCTACAGAGGGAGGAGGACAAGGGGGAGGAGCCTGCCCAAGAACCTGCTGAAGGAGCGGTACGAAGTACGGTCGCGGCCGCGCAGCGTCTCCAGAAGCAGAGGAGACTCCAGCGGCCGGGTCCACAGCACCAGCAGCAGCTCCACCGGCCGGGTCCTCAGCACCAGGAGTAGCTCCAACGCCCGGGTCCTCAGCAGCAGCAGCAGCGCCACCGCCCGGGTCCTCAGCTCCAGCAGCAGCTCCAACGTCAGAGTCCTCAGCACCAGCAGTAGCTCCACCAGGCGGGTCCGCAGTACCAGCAGCAGCTCCCACGTCCGGGTCCTCAGCACCAGCAGCAGCGCCACCCCCAGGGTCCGCAGCACCAGGAGCACCACTCCGAAGACTGCAGCGCCGTGTGTACCACTCGCGGATCTGCTGAATGGGGGGGAGCTCCTGGGTAGGAGGGGAAGTACTGGTACGAGCTCCAGCAGCACCTCTCCGGAGGCGGCAGTACTCGAGGTACCTCTCCTGCAGCTGCTGGGAGGAGAGGGCTCCTCCAGGTGTAGCACGCTCAGGCTCAGCACCCCCAGACGCAGCACCCCCAGACCCAGCACCCCCAGGCTCAGCACCTCCAGGCTCCGCACCTCCAGGCTCCGCACCTCCTGGCTCAGCACCCCCAGGCTCCGCACCCCCAGACTCAGCACTCCCAGGCTCAGCACCCCCAGACCCAGCACCCCCAGGCTCAGCACCCCCAGACGCAGCACCCCCAGGCTCAGTACCCCGAGCAGGACGAGAGTCAACAGCTACCTCGACAGGCTCACCCGGGTCTACCTGGGACACACCTGAGGGAGCGGCACCCTGAGGGGGGAGGGGGTCTGGTACCTCAGCACCTGGAGCGAGGAAGAGCGGCGGAGGGGGGAGCGGGGCAGTGCGGTAGGGGAAGAGGCGGTAGTAGGGGACGGACTCGTCAAAAGTGACGTCCTGAGAGGCCAGGACACGCCGCGAGGTGGGGTGGTAGAACTGCCAACCAGGGGCGTCCGGGACAAAGCCAAGGAAGACGCAGGGGACAGCGCGACGGGAGAGCTTGTCCGCGGACGTGTCGCGGACAAAAGCTCGGGATCCCCAGACCCGAAAACGCGACGCATCGCCAGCCTCTCCCGTCCAACGCAGTGTCGGAGAAGTCTCGGGCAAGGAGACACGGGGCCAGAGGTTGAGCTGATGCGCAGCGTATCGGACTGCAAACGGCCACAGAAAGTGGGGGGGCAGCCGCATGAACCAAGGAGGTACGAGCGACCTCCATGACCAAGCCAATGCGGCGCTCAGCAACCCCATTCTGTTGTGGAGAGGCCGGAAGCGTGAACGACTGCTCAATGCCCTCCTGCTGACAGAAGGCCTCCAAGAGGCCAGAGGAAAACTCTCCACCTCTGTCAGAGTGCAGACGCAGGACAGGGAAGTCGGAGTGGAAACGCTCACTGAGCTGGAGACGAGATCTGCGGATCCAAGGGATCAAGACATCAGGGACGTCACCCTTGGTGCGCAAGGGGAAGACCGTGGTGTAGCGCGAGAAGTCGTCAACAACAATCAGGAAGTACCTCTCCTGACCCTGGCCACGGACGCGGGCTGGGCCCCACACGTCCATGTGGAGCGTCTGCAAAGGAGCAGTCGTCGGGGGAAAGGAGGAGGAGTGAGGAGCGGCGCGCTGCCGCCCCTCGACACAGGGAAGACAGGGAGGAGCAGG